AACTGCTAATCTCGTAACAAAACGGCTTCACACATGGAATGAGACTTCATTGCGTACGACCTAAAGGGAAGGGCAAATACGTTCCAAGCGAGGAGCCAGGTGCCCAGGCCCGCTCTGGTTTGCCTGAGAATTGAAAGCCGTTGACGTAATTTGGCGAGGAGTTCAGCCACGACGTCGCCGCAGTCGCTTCAGGCCCATACCAGAAGCCTAGCGACTTATGTCGGCAGGCCACATGAGGGTTCTCAAAAAGCGAATGCAGTCATTGCAAATCAATCGTTGTAAGAATATGGTTCGGCATCCATGCTGTTGTGTTCCGGCTTACCAGTTGACCCGAGGTTTGTTTTAAAGTCGTAATCCGATCAATTACGGAAGCAGTAGCAAAAACCCCGTCGAAAGCAAGGTTTCGGTCGTCGCAAAATCCCACATGATTCACCCTTGTCACCAGCATAGCCTGGTACATAAAAGGGTCCACAGCGATGATATCGACAAAAACACTAAGCTTGGGAATCCTGGGGGCACCTTGGGCCCATGACACCTCCAGCAACGCCCGAAGCATGAGCCTCACGACAGCAGACGGGGCAACCGAGGTGGTCATCGTTCTCAAACCGAGGTTCGGGCCTTGCACAAGGCGCGCTTAGCGAGTTCGGTCGTCCGCTGGTGCCTCACTGCTTGCGGACGGCGCCGTCAAATGATCGAACAACGATTGATTGCTGTGGATGCCAACGCAGTCCGATTGCACATCAAATTTGGCTTCGGCGATGCCCCCCAGCTTGGGATAGGCTCGGAGCCATTTGGCAAACCGAGCTGGCTCGACTTGCGGATGCTCTTGGGCAGTGGAATGCATGGCCATGGTGATATCAAGACGATGTGTAGCAAGCGTTGCCACCCCGACGGGTGGTTTCGAAAATTTGTTAGCGTGAGTTTGCGCCAGATCCCGAGACTCGCACAACGCAGCCATGCCATTGCGGCGGCGCCCCTCCCAATGACGAACCAAAGATTCGAGACCTTGCAAAAGATGAGCGCCAAACATGAGCCAGTCAACCGTCATCGTTTCCCCCTCGGTTTCCTAACAAACGTCATGCCAATTGGTGGGCGGTCGGACGAATGCGGGTGAGGCAAGGCACGCACGATAGTGACAATTTGTTACCGATGGCCATGGCGCAAAACGTCTGCATCGACTCTGGCAAAATCTGAGGTCTCATTGACCCACCGGTTGGAGCCACCCCTGTTGATTCAGAGGTTCCGAAAGTTTGTTCATCAAGTTCGCCAGCATGCGAAGCACTTAAGACGCGCAGCAATTCCACCCAGGCGTGGAGGTGGAATGGCGCTCTGGTGCGATCACAAAGTTACGGTCACCACCTACATATTCAGCCCGTGTCCTTTGGAATTCGACTTCGAAAGCGCGGAGAGTTCTTATTAGGCTTCGGAGTTGGTGCGTACGACGAGTGGCAGAAGATTGGTTATTCAAGTACACGCTGACATACATGCGGATGCGGCTGGAGGCATCACAGAGGTACGAAAAAACACGAGTGGCGGCAATTCCGCCACCGTGCCAGCGCAGCATTCTGGGCGGCAACCACTAAAGAAGGCAAAAGGTCCTGCTGGGGGGTTCTTGGGGCAGGAGGTTCGAATTCTGGGTTCGTGTTCCGAAAACCACATTGTCGGCTGGTCTGGGGACGGGCCTGCTGGCCTGGATGTTTCCTAAGCGTTCAGTGTCTTCATATTTCCAATACGGGTTCCCCGGAATTCTCGACACTGTTCCCACCCAGTGGCTTTTTGTTTTTCCATCCAGGCACGTGATTTAACGGTCTTGGAGCCCAGTGGGGGCCCCCAAAGGCTGAAACCTACGAACAGCCTCCGTCTTGAATCTTTCAAGGCGTTGGCTCTCTCTGGCCCTCCTGCCAGGTCCCGAGCCCGGCGCGGCCGTTCTGGACGATCTGGGCAACCCCAGAGCGTCGTTGGCGAAGCGGCGCTGCCGGATGGCGCCCCGAGGCTGGAAAACCGCCAGGAGCCGACGGAAGCTCGGCATGAAACAGACGGGTCCTGAAGGAAGCGGGCCCTGCCTCCTGGGCCCTACAGTCGGGGCCCTGAAGAAGGAACCCTTTTCGTTGGGGAGGGGCTCGGTGTTCCTTGATTGTTCTGCAGTTTGCCTTCGGTTTTCCTGAGGTTTCCCATGGGAAATCGAAGTTCAACTTATGGGAGAAAGGGGCCTCGTTCCTTATTTGGAGTTCCTTAGGTCAACGCCCCCACTGTACATCCTGGGCCGCGGCCTTTCCTTCCCCCAAGACAAGTTGTCTTCCTGAGCGGTTTTCGGACGGTCTCAAAGGCCCGAGATGAGAGAATTGTGAACACCTCAGGACCCGTGTCCTTCAGGACCCGTCCCCAGACATGCGATGTCTTGATCTTTCCACTGCGCGGTCCCCAAACGTCCAGACCTTTTCCCCAAGGCCATTTTTTATCCGATATCCTTTTTCAGCTGTCCCGCGGCCCGGCGAAGGCCCCCAGAGGCCGAAACTTGTCAGAAACTTATGCCTTGACTTTTCAATGCATTACATGTCTGGGCCAGTTTGACTCAAGAAGCGTTCCATTCTTGGGCCTTTCATGGGGCCCTCTTGTGCAGTTGTGGGTGTTTTTTGGGCGGTCGAGGTGCCCTCTTGTGCCGTCTTGGAGCTCATTTTGAAGCCTCTTGAGATGTCTCGGGGGAATATTGGGGGCCTCTTCGGGCCTCCTGAGGCGTCTTGAGTTGTCTTGGGGGCCTCTTGAGTTGTCTTGGGGGCCTCTTGAGTTGTTTTGGGGGCCCATCAGGAACCCCCAGGAGGTCTCTATTCACCGTCTCGAGGCCTTCGGAGCCTTCTTGGGGCGGAAGGCTCGAATTGTCGGTCGTGTTCACCCTCTAGGGCCTTTCTTGGGATCATTGCCGGGCCATCTTGGGCCTTCTTGGAGCCCTCTTGGGCCGTCTTGGGGCCATCTTGGGGGCCTCTTGGGCCGTCTTACGGCAGTGCTGGTAGCCTTTTGGATCGTCTCTGGACGTCGGAAGCTCGAAAAGGCGGGTACCCGAAACACATTGAAAAGCAGAAGGAAGATCAGTGTTGTTTGCCTCTCGGGGCCGTCTTGGGAAGGCTCTTGGAGCTCTCTTGGGACGCCTCGACGGCCTCGTGGGCCGTCTTGAAACCATATTGGGCCGTCTTGAGACCAACGTGGCCCGTCTTGGAGCGATATGTAGCCGTCTTGGAGGCATGTGGGCCTCGAGCGGGCGAATATGTGGTATTTTGCAAAGGTTTTTGGCTTCGGGGAGATGGGGCGATGCATGCGGCTGGGTGCGAGGAGAGGGGGGAGCCTTTACTTACGGTCGCACTTTTCGCCGAATTGAGAGGCGCGCCTATTCGTTTCTGTGCTTGGTGCGCTGGCAGACCTTTGCACACCCTAGAGCGAGTGATGGCCTGCTGCTCGTTCCTTCGGCAGTCTGCGACATAGATATGCCAGTTGTCGTGCAGAGGAAGGCGCGGTGGTGAGACGCAACCCGGTGGTCCCTCGGCGCGGCCTCGAGGCTTTCATTGGATCCTGTTAGGGGCTTCCTGTAGAACAGAACCACGGCACGAACATGAACGTTTTGGGGTCCGCGCGGGTTTCTTGGCTCCGCGCTGGACCCCCTCGGCGGCGACGCCCCTGGCGGCGCCCTCGGCGACGTCCTTGGCGGCGTTCCTGGTGCGCTTCGCGCGCCAGGGATCCGGGGTGCACTCTCCTCGAACCAATGATGGACCGACCCAGTTGCTGGCCGCTGCCAGCAGAGCTCATCCAAACGAGCGCTACAGCTCGGCTGGGCCCGAGCGATGCGGAGAGCAGAGCTCCAGCTGTTGTTCCGTTGCTGTCGCGTCCACATCTCGCCTCCTCGCCTCGCGTCCCGTTCCTAGGGCCCCTCTCCTCCAGGACCCGCCTCCTCCATGTTAAGCCCCCCCCCCTCCGCGCCGACTTCCTGTAGCGATCAGAGGCCCCGTCTACCGAGCACCCACCAGGGGCCCAGCCCCACAGGCCTTGCGGACCCCTCGGCCGGGCGCGGCTCGGAGGGGCTCGATGTACCACGCTGTTTGGTCTGCCGAGGGGCAAGGGAATTCGGCGAAGGAGCTCCCGTGCATGGACGCTCCAGCGCCTCGCAGCTTGGGAAGCTGTGGCCTCTGTGCAACGAGCCCCGTGGCCGACGAGACGACTTGGCGCATACGGCATCCGTCCCTGAGATCCGACGTCGCGAAAATATCCAACATCGTGGAACGACACGACCAAGCTGGATCGACCTGTGAGAGGCTTGGGGCCCGAGACAGGGCGAAGGTGCCTGGCGTGATGAATTTGCTTCGCCTGGATTTCGCAGGGTTGGTGCATGTTTCCAGCCCCTTTTGGCGGCCATCTGCGCCCACTGCCCTTTGCTCGCCACGCCATCGGATGTGGGCCCAAGGGCCTCCACGAGGGCCTCAAGTTACGCACGAGTCCTCATCCTCATCCTCCTCGTCCTCTTCTCCCCTGGGGGGGCGGCGCGAGAGCGCGAAGTTACTCGGGGGGGCCCAAACGGTGTGGTGACCACACCGCATGGTGAGTCAGTGGGGGGGTTCGGGGTCACCGCACAGTTTTGGGACTCTGGTCTTTCTCCAAGGAAGTATCGGGCGACCAGGGCCTCCAAGGTCCCGAAGCCGTGCGGTGACGGACCGCGCGGCAAGGTCGCTGGGAATTCTGAGGTCACCACGCGGTCGGTCACCGCATTGTTCAGGGACCCCAAACTATGGTGGCACCTTCCTCGCCGCTCGAAGAGGAAGAGTCGGCATCAGCGCATGATTTGTTGGAGATCAGTTTGGGGCCGGCGCTGGCCCCCCACCCCCCATGGCGGCGCCTCCAGCGCGGCCTTTCGCACAGGGTCACGCAATATATACACACCCACCGCCGCTGACCAGGCCCATCCTGGGCCCACGAGATGCCTCCCTGGCCAAGCGGCATATGCACCGCCCATGGGCCCAGGACGGACTTGGCCAGCGGCAAGGGATGCGTATAGATCTCGTCGCCCTGCGCGAAGCGCGAAGCGCGAACAGAGCTGCCCCTGTGGGTCGTCTCGGGCCTCGCGTCGCGGCCGCGCCGTCGGCCCTCGCTCGAGGTCCTGCCCCGGGGCCTCCTTGCCGCCCCCGCGAGGACGGCTTTGCGCTCGGCTTCGACGTCCCCTTCGAGGAGATGCAGGGCGAGAGAGAGAGAGAGAGGCCAGGAGCAACGTCAGGCGAGGAAGGTGCCCAGGGCGAGATGCCTCGACCCTCCATCGCCCATTCCTCGCCGGCAGGGGCCCGACAGCCCACCCCGCAGAGTCGCTGTCCGGGGCCCATCGGCGATGCATCGCCGATGCCCCGGTGCCGCGTGTGCGTGCCTGCGGGCAGCGCACGCGCATGGCGGCGGAGGCAGGCGCGCCGAGGAGCGGCGAGGGCGGGGAGGCACGCCGTGCCGCCAGCATGCCAGGGCGGGGCCCGCGCACATCCGATATCGGTCCGAGGCGATGTCGATGCTGGCCGGCCCGATCGGGTCCGATCCTGAGGTCCTTGGCCGTGAAGGGGAGGGTCGTCTGTTGCTAGAGGTGCCCTGGGCCCAGGGTGCCCCCGGGATCTCCAAAAAGGCCTCCACGGCATCCAGAGCACCCCTGAGGCCCAGAGGCTCCAAAACTAAGCGAAAAGCTGCGGGTGCCTTGGGCCAGGGGCACTTCTGGCAACCCCCCGAAAGGCGTCCTGAGGGAAACGGGTCCTCAGGTTTTCTCTGTCTTCCGGCTTCGGGGGCCCTCCACGGGCCCCAGAGCTGTCAGACAGCGGCTCGGGATGAAGAGCTGGTCCTCGGGGCAGGCCCTGGGGGGTCAGGAGCCGTTTCCCTCAGGACCCTTTTTTTCATGCTAACGATCTGGCGATCCGATGCTGCCCGATGTTTGCATGGCGCCGTTGTGGATCTCTTCGCAGCCGATCCGATCCGATTTCGATTCCGTGCCGACGCAGCCCAAGTCGACGCACGTTCCAGTTCGATCCAGTTTCCCGTTTCGATGCTGACTGGACCTGCAGAGCGAAGAGGGGGTGTCTGCCCAGGCAGGCCTGGCACAGCGACCCGGCCAGGAGACACGAGAGGCAGAGCTGGCAGGCCCCTGCTGGGAGGCCTCCGATTGAGGCGCCCAGGCCCGGCAGGGGGGGGCCGGTGCGGAGGCGCAGCCGTGCCCCCCGCCGAGGGCCAGGAGTGCCGCAACGCGCCCGGGCCTGTGGGGGCCAAGTTTGGCCCAGGGATACGCGACGGAGTCCAGGACAAGCCCAGAGCCGAAAGGGGAGTTGAGGGACAGGCACGGGGAAATGGGAGGCTCTGTAATCGAATAACTAAAATGGCAGAGACACAATTTCTCCGAGGTCCGCGAGGATTTCTTGAGTGGGCGCCAGAGCCCTTGGGCGGCATCTCTGGCGCTGCCCGGGAGAGGGGTCCAGCGCCGATCTGATAAATCCGCGAGGGCCTCCTGAAGTTCATGTGCATGTCATTGTTTGTTCCTCTAGTTGAGGGACATGGAGAGGACTGGAGGCCTGAGGAGCAGGGGAGGTGGAGGGAGGGAGCCAAGCTGGCTACCCACAAGCAGCAGGGCACGAGACAAAACTAGAGGAGAGAGGATGGAGAAGGGTGGAGGACCGAGATCGGAGGAGAGAGGAAGGAAAAGGCAGGAGGGAGGAGGGAGGAGGAAGGAGGGCAGAGGAAAGAGAGGAGGGAGGACGGAAGATAGAGAATGGAGGATGAGAAAAATGAGTAGGAAGAGGAGGAGGAAAAGGAGGAGGAGGAGGAGGAAGAGGAGAATGAGGAAGAGTGAAGAAGAAGGTGGAAGGGGTAGAAGGAGGAACAGGAGGAACAGGAGGAGCAGGAGTCTAGGATGGGATTCGGCCCAAGACTTGTGTGAGCGTGCGCCTGTCTGCTCGTGGGCCTCTGATGGAGAAGCAGCCTGGACCCCGTGGACGCCCGAAACTTCGTGGGTGGCCATGCTGATGCCCGAAACTTCGTGTGTGTGTGTGGCACAGTAGCTGCAGCCCAGACAGACCTCGTCAAGGCGCAGTCGGTGGATGAGGCTTCAAGGCTCGGCCCCCTCCCCGATCTGCTGCTCAGGCTGCCGATCCCTCTCAGGGTAAGCTAACTACGGCCAGGGACCTGTGCTCGGCGTGCCGCGTCGCCGGCTCTGGCCCACCGCGCTTCGGCGCGACACGCTGAACACGCCCCGGTCCCCAAGCATCAGCGTCATGAGCCTTCCCCGGCCTCTCGTCCGCGGAGCGGAGCGACACGCCATCCGCTTTCGGGGACTGCCGTGTCGCTTCGGCCGCCGCCGCGACACACGAATCAACAGTTCCTGACCGTACGGATCTGCCTCTGGCTGCGCACTCCGCACCTGCACGCGGGGGGAGGGAGGACATCCAGCCGGCCGCGTTCAAGACGGAACTGCACAGGTGCTTCCAATCGCTCGGGGTTGACGAGGCCCCCCCGCGTAGCACGGGGCAGGAGCTTGCGGGGCACAAGCGTGGAACGCCCAGGGAACGAGACAGAAGAGGAGTGTCTGCGTTTCGATGATCTTCTGGATTTATGGGCGCTGGCCGACATACATGTCTGCCAGTTCCATTCAGATTGAAATGCTCCCGTCGGCGTTTCGGGGGAACGCGCCTCCGCGGGGGCCCCAAACCCTCGCGTTCCCCGCTCTTGTCCCCGCGACCAGCGCCGACGTCGAGAATTTAGGCCCGCGCGCATGTGTCCGCCCAGTGCGTGTTTACCCCGTTCATCGCCACCGATGAAACGCAGCCTGCGCCTCGGAGATTGGTAGAACCCCCCATCCTGCCAAGTTGATGAGCGAATCCGCCCGAGGGTTTTTCCAACGCCCTTGTTCTGAGCACAGCACGAGCGGATCGTCTGAGCGAGGCACTGCGCAAGCGGCAAGCGCAGTCCCATGAGAAAATCCATTCTCTGCCAGACAACAACTTATTTGAGAAGTGTGGTGTGCCAACCAGGGACACATGCACCAAAGCAGTGGTATTTGGTCTGGAGACGCGGCCACCCCAAGCTAAAATGGGCCTACTGCGTGTATAAAGTATTACAGCGAGGCTTAGAGGCGGCAGTCCATATTCCCCCTCCTCCTCTTCCTTCTCCTCCTCTTCCTTCCCATTTGCGTTCCGAATTCGTGTGGCATTGATGTTTTCTGCTTCGCAGTCGTGGTACGTTTTGCTTTTTCTGTTTCACGGTCGGGCGCTCCGTCTTTCTGATTCACAGCCCAGGTGCGTTGTCTGTTTCTGCTTGACAGTCGAGTCCGCGCGCCGTCTCTCTCATAGTTTCTTTCCCGCAGAGGTGCCGATTGCGCACTCTTCCGCCCACGCGTCCTGCCGGAAATCCGGGTAAGCGACGGCAGCGGCGTTTCTGTATTGCATTGGCTCCTCAAGACGGCCTGGGGATTTTGCCCCCCAGGCCGTCTTCGCCGAAGGGCGTTCTGCCAAAAGGGGCTCCATACACCCCGAGTGCCGACCCTCACTGCACAGCCTGCGTCGTCCTGAAGAGCCTCGGGTGGACAGAACACCGCCAGCGCTGGCACACGTTTTCGTATCGATTGTAGGTCTTATGTTGGACGTACTGGCCTGCTCGCGGTAGGTCCCACCGTGGTCGAGCTTGGCGTGCCTCCCCCTCTCCCTCCTCCTCCTCCTCCTCCTCCTCCTCCTCCTCCTCCTCCTGCTCCTCCTCCTCCTCCTCCTGCTCCTCCTCCTTCTAATTCTCCTCCTCATCCTCCTCCTCCTCCTCTACCCCTCCTCTTCCTCCACCCTCCTTCTCCTGTCAGCCCAACTGCAGCCGGAAAGAAATTCGAGGACCCTTTTCTAGCTTTGTTTTGGTTCCTCTTTTTCTCGGCCCGAGGTGAGCCTGAAGAAAATTCGATTACCTTTTTGTGAACCCGGTTGTTCAGATAACAAAAACACGCCAGCGCTGCCGCACGTTATGAGGATCATCGAGCGATTGGCAGGGAATAGGCTCGGGCATGGCTCCACCTCTGACCATCAACCTGCTGGCCGTTCACTCGAATCCTGATCGAGCGTCTCGTAGTGAGCCAGCAACGCGCGTCACCTAGATCTGGCGGCGCATGCCCCCCTTCTGCGGCGCGCAGACGGAGGTGACCGCCGCCGTTTCAGCATACGGCTGGCACGCGGGCTGAGAACAGCCTCAGTTTTGAAAAGGGTATCCTTATGATGTTCTTCGTGTCTGGGCTCTTCGCCTTTCGGTGCTCTTTTAGTTTGAACGTGTATCCAGGGAGCTCTGGACCTCCGGCGACGAGGCTCGCGCTGTTGGCCTGCGCCGTTGTGGCCACGCCTCGACCGTGTATACTGGCGCACGACAGTCGGGCGGTGGGGTCCCGGCGCCATGCTTCACCCGTCGGTCGCCAGCGTGCGCAGTTGAGCACGCGTTCTTCATCCGGGAGGACGGTCGAAGAAATTGTAGATTTGAGGATCAGCGTTGACGTTTGGGATCCGGGGGCGTTGAGCGGGTCGATGCGCAACAGGAGTTTAAGCAATACCCGCATGCAAGTCTAATTCATGAAGCATGATCACTGCGACAACAGAGACGGTCGTAGTGAAGGACTGGGCACGTACAACATACGGATCCGGAATATGTGGCCCATGGTCTCCCGTATGGTGTGGCGCATGGTCTCCCGCATGTCCTCCCGTATGCCCTTCAGTATGTTCTCCCGTACGCTCTCCTGCATATTCTCCCGTATAACAAACGGCATATCTTATCCCGTATGCTCTCCTGCATGCTCTCCCATATATTCTCTCTTATGGACAGTAAAGTACATACAGTATAATGTATCACTGTTCACAGCATGTCTGCTGTGTTGGGTCTTCTGCTGCCAGGGTGTAATATTGATGTATGGAAGACGTCGAAAGTTCAGACAGGCCCAGTATGAGGATAAAATTGTTCCGGAGCGCTCTGGAGCGTTCTCAGAGCGTTCCAGATCGTTCTGAGACGGCCGCGGCGCCCGATATGTCCTCCAGACCCGACGGCCCTCTGAGATTTCGTTATCAACCGAATGTGTCGTCCTCTTGTTTCCGTCGCCCCAGCGAGGCCTCGCCCCGATATTGCCGAAGCTCGCTTGGAGATGCCCAGAGCTTGACGAGAGCGGGGCGAGGGCGGGGCGGGCGGAACGGTGTGTCAGAGGAGTGATCGGATCCTGTCCTCCTCCTCCTCCTCCTCCTCTTCCTCCTCCTCTTCCTCCTCATCCTCCTCCTCCTGCTCCTCCTCCTCCTCCTCCTCCTCCTCCTGCTCCTCCTCATCATCATCCTCCTTCTCTCTCTCTCCTTCTCCTCCTCATCCTACCTCCTCCTCCTCCTCCTCCTTTCTCCTCCTCCTCCTCCTCCTGCTCCTCCTCCTCCTCCTCGTCATCATCATCATCATCATCATCATCATCATCATCATCATCATCATCATCATCATCATCATCATCCGTATGCTGCCCGCGGCTATTTGTGGCTCTCTCGCTCTCTCATTATTTCTCTCTCTCTCTCTCTCTCCCTCTCTCTCTCTCTCTCTCTCTCTCTCTCTCTCTCTCTCTCTCTCTCTCTCTCTCTCTCTCTCTCTCTCTCTCTCTCTCTCTCTCTATATATATATATATATATGTATATCTCTCTCTCTCTTTCTCTCTCGGGCCGCTCATCCAGTCTCAGGTCTTTCAGGTGTTTTGCAGCAGCATGCAAGACCTGGCCCGCCACGCCGCCGACGTGCTGCTGTACGGGGCGCAGGCGCTGGGGGCCTCGCTCGTGGCGCGGGCCGCGCCGCCCAGCTGCGGTGCCTGCGCGTTGCAGCTGGCCTGCCCTGCGCCGCCGCAGCTCACCTGTCCGTCCTGCGTCTGCGCGGGCGCTGGCGGGCAGCTGGCGGAGCCCACCTGCGCGGGGCTCGTCGCGGCCTACGCGGTGGCCGCTCTGACCGTCGGCCCAGCCGTCGGGGCTGCTGAGGGCGCGTGGCTGGCCCGCCGTGGCGAGGCCCCCCCTTGCTGGCGGAGCGTCGGTCCCCGCGGCGATCGAGGACGCCGTAAACTTCGAGGGGCTCGCGGCGCAGCAAGCGCGTGACGCGCGGGTTCGGAATCCGTCGCTGCGGTGATGGTGGGCACGTTCCACGTGGTGCGGTGCCGCGTCGGGGGCCGCCATTGGCACGAGAGGCCCACCTTCGGTGAGCACGAGGGCTTGTCGTACATCGTCACCCCCGATTTCGACGACTATGACAAGCCGAACCTTCCTGGTCCTGACGTGCGCGCCGTCCTCCGCCTGACGGGGCAGGGCGCCACGGCCCCAGGGCTCGTCGGGGCGACGGTCTACCGCTTCCGTCGCTTTCCGACCGCAGGCGAGTTGTGGGCCGCGGTCAGCCGCTCCGTGGCTGCGGGCTACCCGCCGCCGCCCAACCCGCTACCCCTGGCTCTCAGCCGCCGCCCTCGGCGCGGGCCCTGGGCTGCCGGCGCTGGCCGCTGCGCTGGGCGGCGCACCGCCCGCTGCGGGGGCGCCGCTCCCCGCGTGGGTGCCGCCGCCCCTTCCTGCGGTGCGTGGCGCGGCTGCTGTTGCCGCGGCGGTTGCCCCTAAGGCTCCTGTGGCGGCTGCGGCGGCTGCTGACTGTGACTTTAGGATCTTCCCAATGCACGCCAATCCTCGGGGGAACGCGAAAGGAGGTTCGGCGAGACCGTCAACGCCCTCGCCGAGACGCCCGTGCAGGGGTGGCCCGTGCAAGGGCCGAGGACGTTGCTCTGGTGCCTCGCCTTCATGTCGACGAGGCAGGCACCCCTACCGTTTGGCATCAGAGGTGGCTCACGGCCATGCTGCTGCCCGACGATGACGAGTACGCTTAGCTTCACGAGACCCTGTGCCGCGTCTTGGACCTTTCCGTGGTCTACGACCAGTTGCAGGTCACCGAGATGGCCTCGTTCGAGGTGGTCGCCTGCCAGCTCCAGCTGCTCGAATAGAGGGTCTACGAGACTCGGACCCCTCCACGGCCGCGGCTGCCCCCAAGGCCAAGGATGGCAGCAAAGGCGCGTCGCCCGCGGCCAGCGGGCCCGCGCCCGAGACCAGCTACTTCCTCAGCGCGGGCGCCTCGAAGGCCAATCTCCGCATCTCGCCGAAGTTGCCCGAGCACATCGCTGAGCAGATGAAGACGGAGGCCGCCATCAGCAAGGAGCGTCGCCAGGCTCGCGAGGAGCGGGCCGTGGGGCGCCACGAAGCTTGACGACTTCAGGCCTGGCCGCGGGGCGCGCCCTCGCGGCGCCAGCCAGACACGTTGCCCCCTCGCTGCCCATCCAGCGCGACAGCGAGACATTTTTCCTCTCCGCCCTCATCCTGCGGAGCGAAGGTCGGGCACGTCCGCGCGGGGCGGGTCGGCCCGCAGTCGGGCCGCCAAGGGCGCAGCCTGGCGGGAGTGGTTCAACGGCGCCGTGGACCCGCTCAACGATGTGCATCAATGCGATCCGT